TGAGATTTTTGATGAGTATTGAATAACTTCCTTCAAATTGTCTATTTTTAAATAGAGACCTAGTTGGCTTCCTTTTTCTTTTATTATGCAAAAGTAAAAGATCGTCGTCATCTTTTTCTTCCATCAAAAGATATAACATTAATTCATCGTTGTTCATTGCGTCTGACACCCTACTTATACGACTTTTAATATTATACTATTATAATTTCCCATCGTGCAATGCTGTTGTCGCTGTTTTGTAGATGCAGTGCAGTTCTGCTCGGAATAGATCTGACCGCAGACGACACTGTCGCTGCAGTCTGCGGTTTGCGGTCTGCAGCCACTTTCGGAATTTAACATTTATCATGCATAAATGTTGCGTCGTCTCCAAGAATAGCCATGAACGGTAAAACATGGTCTTTCAGAATCTGTGTCAGGTACCTATGCGCTCTCAATGTCCCATTCTCGATAAAGACTAACTCCGTGCAAGCATCAAACGATATACCTTCCCATGCTATAACTGATCCTCCACCAAATGCAAGACACTCGGCAACACATGCTTGAGCATATCTCTCGCCTGGACGTCGCCACATTCTTACACGTTTATCTTGCCCGTAAGACAGAATCTCGATTCATCGGAAAACAACACACGACTCCAATCCTGCATTGTCCAAGCCTGCATTGTCGTGCAAAATTCAATCTGGCAATTCGGTGTTCACAGGAAAGCGGCGGTCCAGTTACTCTAGTTCGAGAAGACAAACCAGCAGCATGAAGTCGTCTCCTAACTTCATTCACTTATGTTTACATTTCTCACTTCTTGCAGATGATTTCGAAGAGAAACTGCCGTGACCGTTCGGTTTCTTAAAGCACTAGAAACGACAAAGTGATCATCTCTAGCTGTTGTAATCCTGCCTCGACCTGAACCAGGTCTTCGAGTAAGCAGACCGGTCTCTTCGTACCATTGCCATACTCGTTGCACACTCGAGAGACTTACACCAACGTTTCTCGCAGTTTCGCGCTGACCGTGGCCATCTTCTAACGCCGCCACAACAGAATTTATGCTCATTGCAATATACTGACAGTGATAGCTGATAACAATACACAAATAATTTACAATTTACGTTAAAACCATGGAAACAAAAACTGTGCTGATAACGTTTTTAGGAATTAGGCTAAGGGGCCCTTTTTATCTCAAACGCTTGTTGAAACATCAACGACAACAATTTTTTTTTCAAGAAATCCATTAGTAAACTATGTTACAACCGAAAATAGTTTAAACAGAATAATAATTTCTAAAATAAATTCAAATACTTCGAGGCCTTCAAATGCCTTCGAGGATTGGCATTTTTTCCCGTCTATAACAACAGATAGAGAAAATTCTGAATAAAACCCACTACCAACATGTTCTGATCAAACTAAAAACTAAATACCGAAATATTGAGCCAAGCCAATGTTTCTTCGATTAAAAGTTTATCAAAAAGACCCACTGATCAGAAATCAACATTATCGTAAGTCCTAAACATCTCGGTAGAAGATATTGGTATCTGAAGTTACGCAAAAGGTAAAAAATGGAGTAAAACAGGATATTTAAATCCAACGCCAGAAATTGAATATATAAAACAAAAAAATTCAGAAAAAGACGTAAGAAAAAGGAAACAAAACGCCAGAAAAGTGAAAAGGCAAGTTCGTATTTCAACTACAAGTATTTTTGAAGACGATTGTAAATACTATTTGGAAGAAGACGACTCTGATGATTCAGCTTGCATTTACTGCAATGAACTATTTTCAATATATATATATATATATATCAGTGGCGGCTCGTGACATCTGCTATAGGGTGTGCTGCATGAACCACGGTCAATATAAAATAATAGAAATAGAATAACATACGAAAACAAAAACAATAAAATTAGCTTTAAATACTAATTAATAGTAACTAATAACGACATGCTAAATAAAAATCTGATTAACTTACATTTATTGCATTTTTCTAAATTGGAAATTAATACGCCGGTCCATTTTTGGTCGCAAACTTTTCGATTACTTTATCGTTAAAGTTCGGTATTGAAGCGATGAACTTTGTTTCTATCGAGAGTGTGGAAAGGGCTGTTAATCTGTCTTCGCACATTGAATTTCTTAAAAATGTTTTGATCCGTTTAAAAGTTGAAAAACTACTTTCAGCTTCTGCTGTGGTCATTGGCGTAGTCACCAAAATTTGTATCAACTTTTTGTGTTTCTGTTAATGTGTCCTCTAAATTATTAGAAAATAAAATTTTAGTAAAGGCACTGCACCTTTTAATGTTCTACACACTCGATATTGGAATACAAAACTGACAGTTCTGTTCGCAAACGGTTTTTATCAAAGAAGTTATAAGCTGTACAAGTTAAATCCATTCATTTCAGGAAACTTATTATTATATTTTTCGAAATGTTCTGAAGATAAAAGTGTTGCGGCAACTAGATGATTTGTATATGCAAACCGTTCTTTTGCATTGTTTATAATAACATCACAAACTTCTAGACAGGCAATACGGTGATCCTGTTGGCTGTTATTTGGGCGTTTCCTTTTTTGGACACTAGGCCCGCATTTAAATTTGAAGCTTGATGTATGATAGGGTCTATTTTATTTCGGACATTGTTAATACTTTGCTCAAAAACATGTATAGGCTTTCTGTGCTTCGGTTGGGTCCATGTCTTTTTTTGAAGATTATTGTACAAAACGTCAACATGTGCATAATATAATGAAAAACAGTCAGCCAGAAAGTAAAATTTTGATCTTCCAGAATACGTCAAGTCCTCTTGCTTCCTTGGAAGTAATAGAGCATTTGACTCTTCTTCTAGTTGCTCCATACACTCAATAATAAAGTCTCTATATTCGTAAACGACATTTACTGTACGAAATTGAAATTCCAGCGTGTAGGGATTGAACGAGGAATATTTTTTCCAACTATTTGATTAAAGAGACAGCTATTCTTTGAGGTGAATGACTAAAAAATCCAGGTATATCATGTAAATCTCCAAAAAATACGCGTACTTTGGAATTAATAGAACATGCTCTTGACATTATTAGATTCAATTGATGGGCGTAACAGTGCACAAAATGAGCAGTTTCATATTTTCTCTCTAATTATTGTTTGCACTCCGCCATGTATCCCACTCATAACAGCTGCTCCGTCATAACTTTGTGCAATGAGCTTATTTTTGTTATTCTTTAATATTGGGTCTAAAACATTCAAAATTGTGTTAGCTAAGGTTTCAGCATCATGTTTTTCTGGAAGCAAAAAGTCCAAACCTTTCAACTGGAGCACCGTTTTTTACATAACGAAAAACAAATGACCATTTGAAATTTCATAGAAACTTCCGTTGTCTCATCACTATCACTGCTAAAAATGGGGTGCTTCATTGATTTCGTTTAAAATCTCCTCAGCGTATACTTCTAGCATGCAATCCAAAATATCATTTTGTATTGTTTTTGAGGTACCTTTGAAAATTGTCGCATTTGTAAGGTGTTCACTAAGTGTTTTATCAAGTTCAGCAGAAAAATTCACTAAACCACGAAAAATTCCAGGGTTATCTGATGTTTCAGATTCATCGTGTCCTCGTAAGGCGAGCTCAAAAGCCCCACAGAATTTTATACAGTCAATTATTTTTGACAAAACATACCTTTTTTCGTCACCTCTTCATTGTTGTTTTTGTATATTTATCCAATAAGCAGAGTCAAGTTGGGCCTGTATATTAAGTTTCCCAAATAATGCAAATCGCATTTCATTGTTCATATGAGTTTGCGTGTTTTCATGCTTCTTTATTTTTTCACTTAAATGCACTAGATCCCGCACTCCTGTCTCGCGCCACAATTTTTTCCTCTTTATCTGCGCCGAATAATGCACACGGGAAAACAGAAAAAAGCATTTTTTCGAACATCCACAAATCCACTGATTTCGTAGATACATGTCTTTATTAAATTTACGCGTATATGTTTTTTTCCACGGCTTTTACGGACACTTCAATATTAAGATCAGGCATAGGACGCCACGTTCTTTTATAATCAACTGTTTGTTGATAGTGAAGTTTTTGAAATTTATTTACACCTAATTTAAATTGAAACTCCATTGTTTTAAACACGCTCGAACAAAACAAATTAAACAAAATTGTAACCTAAGAATTCTAAACAACGACACAGACGCAACGGTCACGAATAACTGT